TTTTTATGCTATGAACTCATATGCACCCCAAATGCCTCATGCACTCATATAAGCATCAATACTACATATGTTGCTCTATAAGCATTAAGGAAGGGTTAGAAGTGTGTTACCTTGTTACAAGAATATGGAGAATTAACTTAAGGCGCACCCAAGCACCACATTTTCTTTTCCTTTCCTCTTGGAGCTTTTACCCACTTTTCTCACTAGAACAATTAATGAAACGGGTCATTAACTCATCTAAGGGTTTAGGAAAGATAAAAACATAATCCATAAGGTTTAGAAACGATCTAAGATCACTCCCAAGCACTAGAACACAAAACCCTCCTAACCCCTTACCACTTGGCCACCATGGTCAAATCTCAAGATAGGGAGCTTAAATGAAAGCTTAAAGGATGGAGATTTTTGAACTTGCCTATAGAATTTTGGATTAGGGATGAACACTAACAAAGTCTCCACCTTTGTTCAAATCACAAAGAAAAAGAGTGAAAGTTTGAATAAGAAAGAAGACAAAAGGGGAGGAAAAAGAGATATGAGAAAGTTACTCATTTTTCCCTTCTTTTCCCCTGTCGCGACCTTACCCAACCGTGAGCGAAATCAATCTTTGAAATATTTTTGAGGTAAATTGCTCTCTTAGTCATTCCCTTCCTATGCTCAATTCAAAAGCACCATTTTATCTCTAATTTGGCTCAACTCAAGCCCAACCCATCTCATACTTGGTCTAAGACTTCCTACAAAGCTATTGGACTTACCCAAAGTCCTCTCGAGTTAGCCTAAAATTACTAACTCAAAAATCGGTACATCACATTATATGTTCGCGAACATGTCTATTTAGCATTCATGAACATGCTCATTTGCAGGCTAAAAAAATGATAAACCTACGCCATAATTGCTTAAACTCCAAATTTACCATGTGTTCAATTTAGTCCTTACATCCATTAATATTTAAAATGTAAAAAAATAAAAAGTTAATGAGCTTATATACGAACTTATAAGCGAGCCATTAAAGAAGTTTGTTCATAAACATAAATGAACGAGTTGATAAACGAGCTCCAAGCATTAATTGAAAAAAACCATAGGTTTATTTTAGTTAAAAAAATATGTTATGTGCCATTAAAATCTATTAATAACGTCAGTTAACTTTTTTTTTCTTTTTTTTTTAGATTTCCAAGATAATAAATTAATGGAGTATGTGGTATACTGAAAAAAATAATCTCGTTTTAATTTTAATTATATTAAAATTAAGTTTAATTTCTGGTAATTTCTCCCCCCCCCATTTATCACAAAACAAGATTACAGGGACCTACACATCAAAATTACCACTTTCTTAAAAGGCATAATGTCAAAATTACCCTCTAATGATTATCAAAATTGTTATTTTGGCCCCTATTCATTTTTTGGAGTATTTTGACCCTCGACGTTTCATTTTAGGACAAAGGACCTATAATGTTTGGTTGAATAGTCACTTTGATCATTATTCTTTTTTTTCTGAAGTATTTTTCCCCCCAAAACCAATATTTTTTTAGGGTAAAATGTCCCTATGTTAGAGTGTTAACTGTTTATTAACTAATATTTTTCATGCACTGAGGGACCTTTTTATCTTAAAATAAAACGTTTGGGTCAAAATACTTTAAAAATAAAGACTAAATTGACCATTTTAATAAATATCGAGGGTTAATTTTGACATTATGCCTTCTTAAAAAGAGAGTTGATTGATTTGAATCTAGATGAAACATTTGGGGTGATAGGACAAAATATGCATGCATTTGAACGGGTAATTTACATTTTAAATCATTAAATTTGAATTTTTTTAATTTAGATCGTAAAATTTTAATTTAATCAAATTATATTATATTATTTTTATTATTAAAAAATTAAGTTATTAACTTGTTATACTAACACCGTTATATCATTCTAATATAAATATTGAAATACACTTTTATTTAACATATTTTTCACATGATAAAAAATGTTTAATTGGTAATTTAAATAAATTTATAATAATTTTCTCAAATATTTTTATTTAATAAATTCAAAGGAAAAGGAATTATATTTTCTATAAATTCTAATAAAAATTATATAAATCGTCAATCAAACATTATTCGATGATTTTATGTAAAAATATATCGTGATAAAGCGTTAATTCAGTTTTTCCTGCTAGAATTAATTTAACGATAGGGTAAACTACAAATATAGTACTTAAACTATTAGTTTTAGTCTGTTTTAGTACTTAAACTTTCATTTTTTTCAAAATCATACCTGACATTTAGTTTTTGTTTCATTTTAGTACCAACCGTTAAAAACTCAATGTTTTTAATACCTCAACTATCAGTTTTGCTCCATTTTAGATCCTAAACTGTCGATATTTTTTCAAAGCTTAACGTTAAGTTTTTAACATGGGTATTAAAATGAAACAAAAACTAAACATTAAATATGATTTTGAAAAATAAAAGTTAAGTACTAAAATTGATAGTTTAGGCAATGAATACGTAATTGACATTTAATGATATTAGTGTAAATGACTTAATTTATTAATAATAGAAATTAAATAATATTATAATTTAGTGATTTGTGATCTAAATGGAAGTTAAAGCTAAGTTTAGAGATCTGGGATGTAAATTAGCCTATTTGAAGCTAACGAAGTGAAACTCCATACACGTTTTGAGGTGCACAAGTATGAGTATTGACCAAGGGCGTTAATGTTATGTTGGTAAACAAGCACAAAGCAAAACTTCTAACTACAAACCTCCCACTTTTGTCTCCATCTTCATCTCCCCCATAATCCATATTTACATATATATAAAACTGTAAACATAATTCACTTTCATGGCGGAACATGTTCGATTCAGAGCCCCTTTTATTGCAATATGAATCCTAGGATGCTTTTTGCCTTCTGTCTCTGTTCTTAGAAGTCGTAGGATGAGAATGTTGTTGAAACCCCATCGTCTCCCACTTTTCATTTTTCTCTTGATCTCTTTGTCGTCCGGACCTTGTTTTTGAGGGGAGCACCGGTTTCGGTTTGATTTTCGTCGGGCGTATGTTTATGGCAGCCTCTGTATTTTGACATCTCGGACGAACGAAATGAGCTTAATCTGATGTCGGAAAGTTTGTTTGGGTTCAAGTGTGATGATGGAAGTCGGTTGAGGCTCGATGATGCGCCTTCGCCGGTCGGTCCGACTGTTGTCGATGTCGATAATTTCTGAGCTAAGGCTAATGGAAGTGATGATTCTAAGGTACCTTGTTAAGGAATACTATCATTGTAAACTTTTTTTAAATATGTTAAATTTTGAAAAAATTGAAAGTTTATGTATTAAAATAGATCAAAATTGATAGTTTAAATATTAAATGTGTTAAATTTTTAACGACGGATACTAAAGTGAAATGAAAACTAAACGTTAGATACAATTTTAGAAAAATTGAAAGTTTATGTACTAAAATAGATCAAAATTGATAGTTTAAATACTAAATGTGTTAAATTTTTAACGACAGATACTAAAGTGAAATAAAAACTAAACGTTAGATACAATTTTAGAAAAATTGAAAGTTTAAATACTAAAATAGACCAAAACTGATAGTTCAAGTATTAAATGTGTAGTTTACCTAAAAAAACAACCCTATGTCCCAACGTGTCTTGACCTAATCTTGATAATGTTTGGTTTTATTTTTCATGTCCAAATCGTGACTGTATGATTTACGAGGTTTGATAATTTATTTTTGGAGATTTATTCAATTTTTTAAAAATTAATAAAACCTTTTTAAAAATGTGAGGGTTTAATTAAAAAAGTTTAAAAATTGAGAGGCCTGATTTAACAATAATTTTGAGGGATTTAAGCACAAATTAATTAAATTTTTTGTTTAAGCATTTTATTGATTGGCATTCTAACATTTTTCATTTTGTTTAGGCATTTAAGGAAGCTTGGGAAATTGCTTGTAAGTCGTATCAAGGAGCTATTATGGTGGTCCCTAAGAACAAGATTTATCATCTTATGCCAGTTGAATTCTCTGGACCATGCAATTCTCCTCGTATATTCAAGGTTTGTTCTAGCAATGGCATGCATGGTCATTATTCATCCATGCATGCATACCTACCTTAAATCTCCCACACAGACATACATACATACATACATAAAATGAACTGATGATAGATCTTCGGAAAAATTAAAGCCACTGTCCATCACTCAGATTACACAAGCCGATGGTTTTACTTCGATAATCTTCAGAACTTAAGGGTAGAAGGTGTAGGCATCATCAATGGAAATGGCAGAACATGGTGGCTAAATTCCTGTAAAATTAACACCGCCCTCGTATGTCACTTTAATTTCTATCGAAATTTCAAGTTATTATAATTTTTTATCGATAAAGCGTCTTACATTGATTCTTCCGTCGTTTTTCAGCCTTGCAGTGAAGCACCAACTGTAAGTTCACATCCTTTCTCCTTGATTTAGAATCCCTTGTGTATGTATCCTGCACCGCCGGACTTAATAAGACTCGAACTTCGAACTTCACCTGCATTCGTTTACATAAAAAAAAATTGTATTCCCTTTGAACACACAAAACCTTCAAGGATTTTCCATCTAAGGGTGGAAACATGCAATGATGTGGAAGAAAAATCTGAATCCCGATCATTACACCGTATGCATATGAACTATATTAAACAAAACTGTGCTTTCACAGGCAGTAACCTTTAGCCAATGCAGCAATCTGAGAGTAGCACGGCTGCGGATTGAAAATTCTCAACAAATGCATCTTTCATTTAGCAAATGTGTCAAAGAAAAAGTCTTCAACCTTTTCGTGATCGCTCCTGGAAACAGCCCCAACACTGATGGAATCCATGTGACTGAAACCCAAAACATACACATTAAGAACTGTCATCAGAACTGGTAAAACAGTAGTTAAATCAAGCTTGCATGCACTCTTCTAAATAAATTTGCAAACTCTATGATCATCAATTCAACCGGTGCTATATTCGAAGGTGATGATTGTATATCCATAGTGAGCGGCTCGCAAAATGTTCGAGCCACAGGCATAACTTGAGGACCAGGACATGGAATCAGGTCTTCCAGCTAATTCAACACTACTCAACAAGAGCTTTTACCTAAGTGGTTTCAGCTTAATTGTTTATGGTAAAATTAATGGGATACAACAACTTTTGCAGCATTGGGAGCTTTGGAGCTGGAAATTCTTCGGTTTATGTGTCTAATGTAATAGTGAATAGAGCAACACTTTCGAGAACCACCAATGGAGTTAGAATAAAGACTTGGCAGGTAACATCCTAATAATCTTTTCAACATACACATAATGGACACATCCCTATATTCAACATTTACATCTAAATCCAAGTAACATGGGCTATAATTCTTTAATGAAAGTAGAATTGCAAGTAAAAGTGGTTTCAGCTACAACTAACAAAGAAACTTCCGTAAGAAAAATGGCATTAGGGTTTTCATGATCAGGAATGGATAAAAGTTGGAAAACTTTGGCTTAACTTTGATATGCTTTTCTGAGTAGGATTCTAAATTGTTGTTGCTGTAGGGAGGATCAGGGTATGCCTAAAACATAAAATTTTAGAATATAGTGGTGCACAATGTGAGCAATCTTATAATTATAGATCAGAACTACTGTGATCATCATCAATCACCATGCCCCAAACAGGTAATCATGAAACCCTTAAAGCATGAATATCGGATTCAGCAGAAAAGAGAAGAGCAGGTATTAATGGCAATATACTAGTATGCATGAATGTATATGATTTATTAAAGCAGGTGTCATCAGTGCAAGTGAGCAATGTTGTTTATAATAACATCAGAGGAACAAATGCCTCCAATGTGGCCTTGAAATTCAATTGCAGCCAGACACATCCTTGTCGAGAGATTTACTTGCAAAATGTAGCTATAAAATCATCACAAGAAGATAAAGAAGAACAATTTGCAGAAGCATCATGCTCAAATATTTGGTTGTCTTACCGAAGGGATGTTTCGCCACCTTGCTGATCATCTTCATCAATCTTTGCCTCCGGAGAAAAGCCAAATCGATCCCCCTTCATAAATTACTCTTGAATTAAATGTTTGCTTCTCACTTAAGTAAATTCATACTTTATCATCTATATAAATGGATGTTAATTTAGTGCTATACATGCTTAATTTAGTTATACATATACATACATATTATGTATATATGAACTCTATTTTTATGCCTTTAAAATGCCCTGCTCTGTGGATTGTGATCATCGGACAAAGTAACGAAAAGATTTAAGTTTCTCCAAGATAATGAAATTACAAGCACTAATAAGTTGCATCCTTCAGCCATAATGCAGCCATAGGCCACCACCAAACAACCAGCAGAGCCTCACTTGTGCCAGATCTTAGCAGTTGGCACGGTGACAAACAGAAGCATACAACTTATCGGCCTATATGGCGCCATGTTTGGTAACCTCCCTCCTGCTACAACTCCTGCAACCTAGCAAATTACAGCAGCTGCAAACATTAAATCCTCCTGCCATTGTTGCACCCTCTTCTGTTCTGTCCAGCTCCTTTAGCAGCATTTGCAGCCACGAAGTCTTAGATGGGCAATTCTAGGAGACCCTTTAGTTTGTTTCTCAAATATTGCATTCAGAACTCAGATATGGGTATTTCTCCGTACTTTACTAAGACTCGATCAAAATTCTATCTGCTACGTTTATGCAACCTTCAAGAAATCTCATAAGTGAAGCTGGAGCTCGGGAAGCTGTAAAGGGGGTATGCAGAGGATTCCATTACTTTTTCATCCAAAATGGCTTCGATTCAGGTGCTTGTGTTGGATTCTGGCTGCTATTGGACTTGTCACCCCCAACTGTGGTTGAATGGGTTGCTTGAAGTTGTTTGTTTTCATCCACAACCACAGAAGGAAGGCCTTGCGACTTGACAACCTGAGAACTGCCACATCCAGAAACAGAAAATTTTCAACAAATCCACCCACAAAGAATTAAACTAGCCATTCAGTTTCAATTTTTTTGTTTCTTCTGTTTCTGAATAACAAAACGAATGCCTTGCTTCCCAAGTTCTAAGCTTTTTACTCTACCATCATCTAGCATCACAGATACGACGGATGTGCCATCAACGATACCATTAACAGCTCCCTTATGCCTGCTTGTTCAATTTCAAAAAATAAGGATAAAATTTAGGAAATTAACCAAAACAATATACAATACAGAATTATTAAAGCATTATACTTTGGGTGGAGCTCAAATTATCACATTCATTGGAAACTTGACATTCTTTCTATTTTTGGAGCTCAAATTGATATGTAAATGTTTCTGCAGTTGCATATGAAAAATAAATGTGAGTGGGGTTAAGTAAGACTATAAAACCAGATCTTGCCTCATGATTATTCGGAGATAAAGATAAGCCAAAATCTTACCATGATTTGTCGGATGCCTGATAAATTTCTACTTTCTTTCCAATTGCATCTTTACCCAGCCTTTTTAAAATCCAACTCGCATCCATCATACCATCCATTAAGCTGTTTTGATGTGTTTCTGTGACATCGAGATCTTCATCAACATTAAACAATGATTTTTCCATGAAGGAAGATGGTCTCTGTCTTTTAGACCTTTGGCCTTTTATAGAACTATTGTCTTCCTCAGAATGAGCATTAAAATTCTGATTAGCAAGATTAGGTTTCTTCAATTTAAATTTGAGAGACGGTTTGGGATCTTTTGGCAAAGAATTCAGAGGTGTGTGACGATAATCTTCATTTCTTTCACCATATATATCAGCCCTTTCTTCCAACCGCTTTCCTGACTTCAAATTCCCTCCTAGAATGGTAATCTCACCTGAAGGCACAGCATCAAGCCTAATTAAATCAATGCTTCCTTCTCCTGATGTGACATGTGCTTGTTTTTTAGGAACAATTTCATATCCATCAGAACCTTTAGCTGCATCAACTTTGGATCCCAATTCAGGAAATTCTGGCCTAATTTTCCCAAACTTTATCACATTCCCTTCTGTTCCAGCAATTTTCACCCCTCTTGACTTGGAGCGATAAACTTTGATTCCTGCAAACAGAAAAATTCCCAGTCTCAATTATTAGAACCTAAATATTCTCCAAATTTTCATCAATGACAGCACAAATGAACTTTTAAACACTACAGCAATAGATCATGACTTCCATATTACCATCACCAGATTTAGCAGTACTGTCACACCTATCCGGCGTAAACTTGTAATCTACTCTCTGTTGATTTGCATCTTGAACACCTAACAATCAGTCAAACAAGAGAAGACATGATAGTCTTTAGATTACTCTCTGAAACCAGGAAGGACCAATAAATTGCACGTCATTAATACTTAATATTTTTATAAGTACGATCTAATAACAAATAAAAGGGGCTCGATAAAAAACTAAATGCAACTAAGGTTAAAGTAAATGAGCAACAAAAAAAACAGTTTATCACAGAAAATGCAGATCTACGGGTGAAGCAAAAAAAATTAAGTAGCAATCTAGGAGGGTTACTAGACTGATAGCACTTTATTGGAAAGGATAGGTTATTGATTGTAGGAAAAGAGGACACTCATGCAGTGCAAGTTATCTCATAGACAGAGGAAGTCAGAGCATACCATTGTGCAAAATCACATTTTGTTCTTTTTGAGAGTTCGAAGCATCAGAAATTGGAGAGTTGGTAACATTTATTTTTTGTGCACCTAGATTTATGACCAACCTCTTTGCTTTCACAGTATTTGACTTGCTATCATGTTTTCCATTATCACCTCCACGGTCTACATCATGTGGTTTGCTACTTTTAATTTTAAGTACACAAGATTTTCTATCTTCATCACTAACCATAACCTCATCTGCCACCTTATATTTCAAAATCCCTAGCCGATTGGTAGAACAAATTCCAGCAACAGGAGAAGAAATATCTTGTCCTTCATCTTTCTGAATCACAGCTTCAGGAATATCCTGATTCCTTTCAAAACTCAGTTGTAATTCTCCCTGGCTAATCAAAGATGTCTCATTTGTCTTTTTCTTAAGATATTTTTTGCTTGAAGATTTCTTTCCACTTTCCTTGTTCTTCTTCGGAGAATTCTCAGCTATACCTTTGAGAGAGAACTTAAAGGAACGCCCAAATTCATTTTTTAACATCACCGGACCATTTTCCTCATCATCTGAAAATGGAGAGAGAGAAAATATTTCTTCTTGAGTTGGCAGCCCTGCAGCAGCCCTCAAACTAGAAATAAGGTCTCGATCAGCATTGTCTTTCCTCTTCCAAAGCTCTAGGACAGCATCCTCAAGATCTGTAACCTGGTTACATGTTTATGACAGCAATTAGTTGAAAAGAATACTTTTCTCCCTCCTGAGAAAGAGAGAAGAAGGGGAAAGGAAAACTGTAATACATAGCCACCTGGTAGCACTCTCCACGACATGCTGCACATTTATACTGGAGATTTCCATCTACTTGAAACTGCAGATATCTTTCATCACTGCGAAACATTTACTGATTTATATATAATGATCCAAAACCTGCGGCTGCTGTAAAGTAGAAACCATAAAAGTCTTCCTGCACTTGTTCAACATGCAGTGCTTTTGGGTAGTGAGGGATATGAATGCGCTAGAGTAGAAATTTCAAGACAAACAACACTAGCTTGTTTCACTAGAGTAAGGAAACTGCTCATGCTGATTGCATTAAAAAAAAACTTGAGAAATTCAACCATCCATTTTGACACTATACAGTAACAAGGATTAAGCCTTCTGAACTTGATGCAAATTAAATACAAAACATCCATATTGACCATAAACTCATCTCCAAAAACATCTATTACTGTCAAACTCAGAACCATAATTTGACAGCGATTACTGTCATAGATTTGGGGGGTGTCGTATTTTTTGGTTTATAGTGGATCAATGTAATGTCCTAATGATTCCCAAGTTGTAATGTTCCATGTTGCAATAAAATATGAGACACTCTTTTCCTCCTTCCAATGCTCGACGAAATTCCACATTTCGTTGAGTATGAATGGGGGTTTTAATGAGGTCTCCCTATTCTATCAAAAAAAAAAACAGCGATTACCCCACACGAAATAACAAACAACCAAAAAAAGCAATAAACAAGATAACAATGCAGAAATCAGATAGGTGGTTTTTAAAGTACAAACTACAAGGATAGAAAGGAACCTGATGCCATCACACTCGCAGTGCACCCAGCGCTGGCAAATATCACAGCAGACCATGGGTGTTGATTCAGAGTCTCTGTAAACCTGTATAGTTGTTCCAAAATGTCTAGTAAGTTCATTTTTAGAAAATTCATGAAGCATATTTGCATTCGCATGGATGCTAAATCATTCAAATAAAGTAGTTCAGAATACCCCATATTTTAGCCATTTCTATCAAGAAACAACTCTTAGGGGGAAGTGGACTCTTCCCTTAAACCAGGGATATATGAATAAACCAAACACCATTACATATCAGAAGAATGAATTTACCTTCAAACATACAGGGCAATAGTTTCCCTTCACAAACAACCTTCCACAAGCATCACAACAAGTGTATCCCAAGAACCACCTGAAAATTTTATAATAAAATGATAAAACTTAGATGCTAATTGAAAGAGATGCTTAAAGTCTTAAACATGTGGTCAGGAAAACTCATTAGCAATCAGTTGTCAAAAACTAAAAAACACAAGCAAGATATTAGAGTTTGAATAGTTGAAAAGAAATTGAAGCAACAATTTGCACAGAAAGGAGAAATTTTTAGGGGAAAAGCTTTTTGTCTGAGGGTTAACAGTTGTACCGCACACTGGAACCATTTCCAGGGACATTGGATCCACAGCTGTGACACCTTGTATGTTTTGGGCACAAATATGGCCCAGAAGAAACATTCTGCATAATCCAGGGATAATGTAAGGGGTTCTGTTTTAATCAAGATATAGAACAATTCAGCATTAAGCAATCAAACCAACCTTGTGAGGTGGATGTTGACAATAGCAATGGTATGCACCATCACACCTTTTGCAAAACATGAGCCTAGTTGGATCTCCCGTACTTCGGCACACCTAAAGAAAAGAAATTAGTAGAAATGAGTGAAACCAAAAGATTTGACTGTTATTGGGTGCAAATGGGTACTTTTGCATGTAATAAATACCTCACAGGTTCGACAATTATGGCAAGTCCAAGAACTCCAATGAAACAAATCTGCAATCATTCTAAATGCATAAGACTCAAGTGGTAAAAGATAACAGAGCAATAACCTTTTAGAGCATTAAAGTTGGTACCTCTATGTTGTACCAAATATTTCAAGCAGCTCCTGTGGTACTTCTTGTCACAATTTTGGCAAGAGAGCATCCTTCTAGCCCTCTCGCTTCCTTCGCTTTCACCCAAAAAACACATGTGGCACATTACATTTTTGTTTGACTGACCTTGCTCTTCTAGACCAGAATTTATTGGTGCAACCTGTAGAGAAAAAGAAACCCATAACTTCTAGAAAGCCACAAAGGAGCAGCACTACATAGGCTAAAAAATAAAGACCAACACATCCTCCAAAGTAGGACCCTGCCTTTTTACTTTCCAGATCTCATTTTACAAAGCTTTATTTCCAATCAAAGGGTAGGTAAACTAGTCAACTCAAAACAAAAATTGACAAAATAGCATACCATTGAATCCTTTTATTCCCTAGTAATTTGCATCTATAGTTTCACATATACAAGTAAATATATATTTCGATATATAAAGTGAGCAGCCTATTTAGAAATGACAAATGAGTAATCACAAATAACCCAAAATCTAGCTCAAATTCAATATCAATGATCAATCATATATACACAGACAAGAACAAATGCATATTGACCAATAAATTTAAAGAACCAATTGAGAAATCAGAACTCACTCTAAACTGACAGGAAAGTGAACTTAAACTGAGCACAAAAATAATAATTCATATGGCCATAACCCCTAAATGACAACACAAATCACACTCCACTAAATCTAACTCAACCGAAAACAAAATCCAGACGCCAAACTTCATCTACACCTTGCATATGCATACAGACATACAAGTAAAAACACATTGCATAGAGCCAAACGCAAGAAAATTACCGCAACATAACCCGACTCAACCTTCCCAGAATAATCCTCAGCCGCCGCCACCATCGTGGCAGCAGCCTTTCTCTGAAGCGCCAGCCATCTCGTCTGAGCCAACACCGAGGCCGACTTCTCGACCGCAGCAGCACCTTCTCCATCCCCAGCCGCAACCGGCGCTAGTTTAGGAACCGGAACCTGCACGGTCCCTTCTCGAGAAACCCTAACGCCCCAAGGATCTTTCAAAAACTCCTCGACTCGAATCGCTTCCTGCAAGAAGCCATTCACGGAGCCCGGAGACTGGAGACTTTGAGGAAACCCTAGCGAACAAAAGCAGATCCGACGACTACAACAACAACAACGAGGAGAAACATTAACGTTAATAATGCAACGAGAGAATTCGAAAGCATGTACACGGAGGAGGAGAAATACCTTCTTTTTTTCAAAAAAAAATAAAAATAAAAAAATGAAATTGAAAATATAATTTACCATGTAGTTGGGCAAGCTACGTGAAAGGCCATTAGTAAGAGATTTTGGGGATTTTCCCTTTAGAGTTTTGGGAGATTTATCGATTTGTCTCCTTTGTTTTTTTAAATTGTAATTATTAAATAATACTTCGCCCATAAATTATTAAAAATAAATATAAATTTTGATTTATTTAAAGAGAAAATAACTTCAGTGACCAAAAATCTCATATAATATACGATTTTAACTAACTTTTTCCGGATTTGCCAAAATGACCAACAAAATCATAATGCGATCGCTAATTCGCAACGCGATCTCCATTATCGCAAATCAGTTTCCAGATTCGCAACGCGATTATGACTATCGCAATACGATTTTCCAATTTCGCGTTGTGATTTTCCCAATTCGTAATGCGAATAAGTAAATCGCAACGCGAATTTGGAAAATTGCAACGCGATAATACAAAATCGCAACGCGATACTGACTTTCGCAACTCGATACTTAATTTCGCAACGCAATACTGACTTTCGCAACGAGATAATACATAATCGCAATGCGATTTTCAAAGCGCCATTAGTATCGCAAAGCGTATTTTATTTTCAAATTCTAAACACGAATATTAATATATTGGAACACTGAACCGTCCACAGTATATCCCGTAATCGCAACTCATAACCTAAAACCTAAAATCACAACTCAGTCCCATCTCCATCTCTCACTCTCTCACCCATCTCCGACGAAATCCATCCCCATCTCCGGTGAAATCCGTCTATCTCCATCTCTCAGAGCCACCCTCACAATCAGAAATGGAAAATCAACCAAATCAACCACCGAGGGTTAGTTTTTTTAATTATTTTCTTTTTGAAATTTTTGCATTATTATTAGGTTTTTCATATTGAAATTGATGATAAGTTTACTGGTAATTTCAATAATAGATTAACCATTTCACTTAGATTGCTTATTAAATCAACCGAGAATCGCAACGCGAAATGAAAATCGCAACGACAAAATCGCAACGACAAAATCGCAACGCGATTTTATTCTCTCGTTGCGATAGTCAAATTCGCGTTGCGATTTTCATTTTCAGAAACTATTCTTCTTCTGCAAATTGAAACTTGAATGAATTGCATTACTTCAACCAAAAAACAAAGACAAATAAGAAATTCACAGTGTTGCAAATTTAAGTTTGAAGAATAAACTAATACTCTTTATGTTTATTATTGTTTTTGGTATATCTTCACAGTGTAGTTTTTGGTATATCTAACTTAGTATGTTTATTGTTTTTGTAGAACTTTTATTCGGCTCAATTGACCTTAAGAAATAAAGTCAGCCTGGCCAAAACAATTGCGTCGAAGCTTTCACCTGCACAAAGAAAAATGTTTGAGGATACTTGCTTCGGGCCATGGCTGAAAGTACAACATCCCGGTGGAGATGCGATGTTAACACACCTGTTTCTTCAAACCATGACTAGGGATCTACCATATACTATACAACGTCGTGATGAAGAGATATGGTTTGATTTTCCACCGGCGTATACGTGTTTTGGGCGGGAGGAGTTTTGCTTAATCACCGGTCTACGCTTCGGACATGATGATGTAGGTCGGTACACTAGACACATTACCCGCCCATCATGGTTATCCCGGGTTTTTCCTGAGCTGGAGAGGCCGAATCTACACGTGGAAGACCTGACGATATTATTGAATAAGAAAGATGGTTTTACTCGGATGGATGACGTCGATGTTGTCCGAATATGCCTTCTAATACTTTTGCATGCCGGCTTTTTAGGCAGAGAGGCCAGACAACCTATTCCGAATGATCTAATCAAATTGGTAGAAGACCTAAATGCGTGGAACTTATTTCCGTGGGGCTCGTATTTATGGAAAGCTACATGGAATAAGTTATCGTCTGCCTTGGATGATCGAAAAAGTTTGCATGGCGATGGTTCCAAATACACTTTGACAGGCTTTATTTGGGCCTTTAAGGTAAGAATTTTTATATAATGTTTCCAAAATTATAAGTAATTATTTAACAATTACTAATGTTTGTTATTATATTGTTTGTAGATTTGGATATTTGAGGCCTTTCCCACCATGAAGACATATGCAATAAAAACTTCAAATGATATTCCCAGGGCTATTTCCTGGAAGAGGAAACGGACCTTGCAATGGGAAGATTTACTACGGTATACGACAATAAATAATGTAAGTTAACATAAATACTACCATATGTTTATAAACAAGTTATCACTAGTACACGTTTAACTTTGTTTGAGCTTTTATATTGTTAGGAGGCCAACACTCCATTACAGAGGCTAACACCCACGGAAGCTGAGCTTGCCACTGATTGGTGGCAAGCTAGTAAGCATTTTTTTGATGGCACGGATGATGAGCAGCCTCCACTTCGGGAGCCATCACCTCACCCAGAGCTATCACCTCACCTAGAGCCATCACCTGATCGACCCGACTATACACCTCCACAACGACAGCCATCACCTATTCTATCACATCATCGAGCCTCTTCTCCACCATCACCGCAAGATAGGCGACCGGCAAAGATGCCACGACGTTTATCTCCCTGTTCTCCACCTCCACCTCCACCTCCACGGGATGAGTTAGGAGAGTTACGTGATGAGGTCAATGCCTTGCGTGAGGAGGTCGGTACTTTACGCAAAGACGATGGTGCATGGCGTGTTGAGGTGTCTACTTTACGCGGTGAGATAGTCGCTCTACGTGAGATGGTAGCATCATTGCAGAATGAGGTTCATACTCTACGCAACGAGGTAAGTTTAAGATTTTTCATATTTAACTTGATGATAAATTTACTCGTAATTTCACTTAGATTAACCATTTCACTTAGATTGCTTAATAAATTCATTTGGTTGCTGCCAATACTGCTAAACTGTTTTTGTTAGTATTTGTTTTTGGTTTTGTTTTTGTCTTTTGGTTGAAGTAATGCAATCCATTCAAGTTTCAATTTGCAGAAGAAGAATAGTTTACTTTCGCAACGCGGAAATGACTATCGCAACGTGGAAATGGCTATCGCAATGCTAAATGAAAATCGCAATGACAAAATCGCAATGCGAAATAAAAATCGCAACGATAAAATCGCAACGCGAAATGAAAATCGCAATGCGATTTGCGTTTCGCGTTGCGATTTTGTCGTTGCGACTTTCATTTCGCATTGCGATTTTGTCGTTGCGATTTTCATTTCCACGTTGCGATAGCCATTTCCGCGTTGCGATAGTCATTTCCGCGTTGCGAAAGTAAGTTTCGTGTTGCGAAAGTAAACTATTCTTCTTCTTGAATGTTTATATATGTTGTCCTTTTAAATGTTTATATAAGTGCTTACTTCTAGAATGTTATCTGATGCATTTTGTGAACTATGATAGAATAATGACTTGGGTGAATACAATGCAAGTTTGAAACATATTTGTCTTTGTTTAATATCATGTTTGTTTATTTACTGATTTATGTATTAATTTTTTTAGCGGCCCGATAAGGTGGATGCTTTACGTCGGGTTTTCCTTGCACGACGGAGTTCACGCATCAGACGACGTGCACGTGCTATTACGTCTCCGTTCACCCCAATGGTGCGAAGACTCCGCAAGAAGAAGCCCGACTCACCTGTCATCCCTCAAGAGTCCCCTCCAATCGTTCAAGAGGCCCCTATCATCCCTCAAGAGTCCCCCCCACCATTCAAGAGGCCACTGTTATCGTTGAAGAGGTCCCTCCCACCATTCCAGAGCCCGATCCACATGGGGTAATATATCGAATTATTGAGAAACCCCCACCGTTGTCGGACATGATGGATGAGAGTTGGCTCTCGTATGAGTTACCGGCTAGTACCCTTCCGGTATCTAAAGTGGAGAGGAGAAACTACCGGAAACAATTCTGGATAATACCCTTTGGGCTAAGACCGCAGTTGATTTTTATCTACATGAGCGGAGCCAAGGGTGTTACACTGACATAAGCAAACTCAACGATGAGATGTATTTGTTGCTTAATCGGTATTGGTGGGGTGTGTTATTAGGGGTTGAAGACAGTGGCTATTTCGATGGGGAGGTAAGTCTTATATTTGTCTTATATATGATTTTGATTATTTTTTTTAAAAATTAATGTAATTCACTAATATATGTCTTTTTTTTGTAAAACAGCATATCGATGCGTGGGTGTCACGTCTTCTAATAATAAGGAAGCTTAGGAAAAATAAAAAAAATTCATGATATACAATAATGCCGGCGGCTTTTCACGCAGTTCACTTGAAGAATCAACGAGATGAATCATTTTCGTTGGGCAATGGACAAGCTAAACTTTATCCTGCATGGTGGGAGGTCGATAAGGTTAGTGTTTATTTTTTAAATTTTTTAAAGGTGTTCATAAATAAGTGCGCAAATAAATGAATTATTACTTATGATTGCAGGTGTTTATCCTTGTTTTGGAACGTCTTCATTGGCTTCTCGTCCAACTTCAGCTCCCATCCCTGAAGATAATAGTATATGACAGCATGATAAATTACATATCACTGTCTGATTTGAGAGATATTATCAAGGGATGGAGCTCTCATTTGGCTAAATTCTTGGATGGGATTAATTATTGGACTCATTCTGGACACAAGAAGCCAAAGAAGTTCAATGTCCCAGTTGTCAGAGACGAGACCGTGCCACAACAATCGCCGGGAGCCAGAGGGGATTGTGGTCCTCTCGTATGCATGTGCTTGGCGCGTTTGACGACGGGAAGCACAGAGTTTCTACCTCCCACCGATAGAGATAGAGCTGCAGTATGCTTGTGGTTTCAGCATTATATGGCTAGAGCGATATATTCTAGACGCTGCCTACCTGCATCCGCGTTATGAAAGTATCCATTTCTAATTGGTAAGTCAAATGCAAGTTTTGTTAACATATATACTTCTTTTGGTTTGAAAATGTTTGGTTAAGTATCTAGAATTCAATAATTTGCTGTTTGTAGGTTTTAGATGTGTAGGAAGTCTTGTTTGAGCAAATGTTTGGTTTCTGCAGGTTAATCCTTAAGTGAGCTGCGTGAAATAGATGTACGGGTGCAAAAGTTGATTCATTGATTCAATAATTGATGAGGAAATAAGAATTATTATTAATTTTTGATTGTTTAATTGATTTGTAAAAAATGATTTGTAAATGTTGATTTGTTTAATTGATGTGTACATAATTCTTATTTGTGCTTGTTTAATTGATTGAAATGTAATAGTTGATTTGTTGATTTTCAATCTGCATTATGTTGAAGGCAAAACAGACTATCGCAACACGAAACTGACTATCGCAACGAGAAAATCGCAATGCGAAATGAAAATCGCAACGAGAAAATCGCATCGCATTGCGATTTTCTAGTTGCGATAGCCATTTTTGCATTACGATAGCCATTTTTGCGTTGCGATTTCCCCGTTACGATAGTCAAATGAATGTCTAATAAGTGATAACAACTGAACAGATCATAGCAATGTTCAAACTCAAAAGGGAAAATCCCCAAAATCTCTTACTAATGGCCTTTCACGTAGCTTGCCCAACTACATGGTAAATTATATTTTCAATTTCATTTTTTTATTTTTATTTTTATTTGAAAAAAAGAAGGTATTTCTCCTCCTCCGTGTACATGCTTTCGAATTCTCTCGCTGCATTATTAACGTTAATGTTTCTTCTCGTTATTGTTGTTGTAGTCGTCAGATCTGCTTTTGTTCGCTAGGGTTTCCTCGGAGTCTCCGGGCTCCGTGAATGGCTTCTTGCAGGAAGTGATTCGAGTCGAGGAGTTTTTGAAAGATCCTTGGGGCGTTAGGGTTTCTCGAGAAGGGACTGTGCAGGTTCCGGTTCCTAAACTAGCGCCGGTTGCGGCTGGGGATAGAGAAGGAGCTGCTGCGGTTGAGAAGTCGGCCTCGGTGTTGGCTCAGACGAGATGGCTGGCGCTTCAGAGAAAGGCTGCTGCCACGATGGCGGCGGCGGCTGAGGATTATTCTGGGAAGGTTGAGTCGGGTTATGTTGCGGTAATTTTCTTGCGTTTGGCTTTATGCAATGTGTTTTTACTTGTATGTCTGTATGCATATGCAAGGTGTAGATGAAGTTTGGCGTCTGGATTTTGTTTTCGGTTAAGTTAGATTTAGTGGAGTGTGATTTGTGTTGTCATTTAGGGGTTATGGCCATATGAATTATTATTTTTGTGCTTAGTTTAAGTTCACTTTCTTGTCAGTTTAGAGTGAGTTCTGATTTCTCAATTGGTTCTTTAAATTTATTGGTCAATATGCATTTGTTCTTGTCTGTGTATATATGATTGATCATTGATATTGAATTTGAGCTAGATTTTGGGTTATTTGTGATTACTCATTTGTCATTTCTAAATAGGCTGCTCACTTTATATATCGAAATATATATTTACTTGTATATGTGAAACTATAGATGCAAATTACTAGGGAATAAAATGATTCAATGGTATGCTATTTTGTCAATTTTTGTTTTGAGTTGACTAGTTTACCTACCCTTTGATTGGAAATAAAGCTTTGTAAATTGCGATAGTCATAATCGCGTTGCGAATATGGAAACTAATTTGCGATAATGGAGATCGCGTTGCGAATTAGCGATCGCATTGCGATTTTGTTGGTCATTTTGGCAAATCCGGAAAAAGTTGGTTAAAAACGTATATTATATGGGATTTTTGGTCACTGAGGTTATTTTCTCTTATTTAAATTGTACGGAGTGGAAAACGGCGTCGTATATGTACGTAGATCTTGTTCGTTCCGTTCGCTTCGTTTGTGAATGTGGTCTTATAGCACGAGGGCGAGGGGGTCTAGTCGCATTTTTAGCCCTCGATTTTTTTTTTAAAAAAAGTCATTTTAAACCTTAAATTATTTTTTCATATCTTTCAGTCCTAAACTTTAACTTTTATCAAGGGTAAATTACGCATTTAGCACCTAAACTACATATTTTAATCTATTTTAGCATCTAAACTTTCAATTTTTTTAAAACCATACCTAAAAATTAGTTTTTGTTTCATTTTAGTACCCATTCAAAATTTAACATTAAGCTTTGAAAAAATTGAATGTTTATGTGCTAAAACGGACCAAATCTGATAGTTTAGGTACTAAACGTGCTAAGTTTTTAACGGTAGGATACTAAAATTAAACAAAAACTAAATGTTATGTATGATTTAAAAAATAAAAGTCTAGGTACTAAAATATGTCAAAACTGATAATTTAAGTACTATTATAACCATTTTTTTTAAAAAAAATTAAATATTATTTTAAAAACAATTATGACTTTTTTTTTTTGGAAAATTGGTGATTTGGAATTGATTTTAATTAAATTGGATAGGGAGTCGCCATCGACCTTTGGATTAGGTAGGTCGAACACCTAAAAAAGTCTTTTAAAACAATTTTAAGGAAAAATCTTTTTAAGACTAAAATTGGTGCATTTACCAAAGATTCGTTTAAACGAGTTCGGGAATCGATTACGTGTAGGGAAGGGTTAACACTCCCACAGCGCCCAAAATTGGTAATGTGTTGCTTACACATTGTCGTAAATGGTGGAAATTAGGAATCGAATATAAAGTTAAAATATGATACGTTTATTGAATATTGATTAATTTGCTTCAAACTAATTGTTTAAAAGAAAATCCTTTTATTCGATAAGAAATCTTGAAATTTGTGATCCTCCGTCGGGAAAGCTATCCCAACTATTTCTTATTCGTAAAAGAATATTCCCTCATTGCTTTGAAAACGTAAATCGAATATAAATTGAGAATTAGTATTTGCATAAAATAAACTAATTAATGTTTAGAAACATACATTGCATAATTTGAATTAAAAATAAAAATCAATTAATTAATAAAATAAACTTGATTTTATTTCAAGTTCCCATGTCGTTAAAATGTCATATCGAATCGCACCACTTCGTCCAAGTGATGCTTTCCATGCTCATTCTACGCATACGTGTTCTTGAAAAAAAATCGAATATTATTTCTAGATGCAATGAAAAACAAATGTGAATGGAAAATCGGTAAAATAAAATATTTACAACAAATAAAGCCAAACAACATTTATCTAGAATAATACATAGATCCACAATGAACAAGATATACATATGAATGAAGGACTAGCATAAAATAAAATATTACAGCAAAATACAAATAATAAAAACAATAAATAATCATATTCGATTTAAAGGACAAAAATAACAAAAATAGAAACTTAAAGGACTAAAACAGTAAAATTAGAAACTTAAAGGACTAAATAGTAAAAACAAAAACTTAACTAATTAAAATAGCAAAAATAGAAATTTGAAAGGTTGAACCATAAATATAAATAAACCAGATCCACAATCAACATACAGTAAATAATATAGGTACTAGAAATGAAAATATCCCAAAAGTAATGTTTATGGACTAAAATTGTAACACCCCCATCAGAGATATTACATTGACTTTTAAAACACAACTCATTACAAATAATAGTAAAATACTTGAACTTATATTACGAAAAATACAATAATATACATATGGTAATATAAGTTTACCAAAATATTCAGAGCATACACAACTTAACTCTTTAATTACATGTCAACATCCATTTCCATAACAAAATGACCTACTGATTAAGTTGCTTCTAATCTGATAGTTACAGGAGTAATGTTGTCTAGCTGTTTAACCTCGATCGTCTACTTTATCGGATCCTACGTGTGAAACACTCACACGCTAAGTCATCGACTTAGTGAGGCAATATAATAATAATATCAATAAATATAAAGTAATTGCCAAAATGAGATGGGTTGCAATAATAAGATGTATGTAAACAATGCAATAACCAAAACCATGTTTCTTACACATATACTTATTAAATTCACATTCATAAGTTCGCCTTAGTAAGTTCATTAGCTCATGGTACTATACAGAGAACCTAAGGTATGTGAGTATTGTGAGGTTGTGCACTATGCTGTCACCACAACTCATATAATTGCACCTAAGTGCCACGTAGAATTGCACCAGAGTGCCGCTTAGAATTGCACCGTAGTGCCATATAATAATGTCCATAAGGACCACATATCATTCCTTAAGAATCATATACATATGCCAAGGATCAAGTATGTGTCTCACCAGACCTCACACATGTTCCAAAGAATACATATATGTCCCGAAGGACCACATATCATTCCTTAAGAATCATATACATATGCCAAAGATCAAGTATGTGTCTCACCAGACCTCACACATGTTCCAAAGAATACATATATATCCCGAAGGACCACATATACCCTCTAACCTTGGCATGCCAACTATACTTATAGTTCTCATTTACATAACATGGGCTTTCACAATTTATCTTATTTGTATCACGTAGACATATTATTTTCATACCTTTATCACATAACTCATATAACTTTTTCTTGCATATTCATGTCCCATAATGCATATGGTATGGATTCATGTCATATATCATAATATGAAATACTATCATGTATCAAAATATTGAATCTAGACTTATCACAAGTCTAGAACTGAATAAAATACATATTCATGCTATGCATATGCACTCACCTAGATTTCTTTGTCTTTCCCTCGATTGATCCTACTTGTTGATGGTTCCGGAACTCGTTTAGGCTCGATATCTACATAGTAATTCATTGATACTTATCAGTATACTAATTAATATATTCTAAACTATCATTTCTTAGGCAAAAAGAAAAGCCATTTTCATCTTTTAATGGAGGTATGCATCGATGCACTACACCATGCATCGATGCATAAATCCTATTCGATGTTTTCTTTTTAAATTAATGCATCGATGCACTGCATGTGCATCGATGCACCTTAAACAATTTCTGGGATTTATCATCGATGCATCGGTGCACAATGAATGTGCATCGATGCACATTGCCCAGAATTGTCATTTTAGCACGTAAATCTCTTCTCAGTCTGCTTAACACTTTATATTTCCCGTCATTATATATTCTTAACTTGCATACTCTTACTTAAACTAATTATTATCCATTCCATACTTTTGAAATTTAAAAGTCCAATTCTCCATGTATAATTTAAGAATCTAACCTAAATTCCAACATGTTCTAATTTGAATTCTAACACCTCATACTTCTTAGTTAGCTTTATGACAAGTCAAATTCCACTTTTAATTCTTATTAGGAACTCTAATCCAAGATTTCACTTTTCTACTTCCTTTCTTTGATTCTTCATATTCTCCTCATCTTATGGTTTTAAGATAATCTAAGCTTTCCTTAAGCTTAGTTATCAACTAAGGATCAATAAGAAACCTTAAATTCATCAAGAATTTAATCAACCAGAAAACTCACCTTTTGCTTGGTCTCTCGATGGAGAAGAAGAAGTGAAGAAGAAGAGAAATCTGGAAACTTTTGTTCTCTTCATTTGCCTTCCACGTGGATTTAAATATCCTCATCTAATATTTAATTATTTACCCTATTAAAAGACTCATTTACCCCTTTAGTTTCTCCTTCTTTGTTAATTGATCCTACACAAAACATTCCCATTAAATCTTTCAACTATTCAATTTATCTACTTTGGTCACTGAATTTTATAATTTCACAATTTGATCACTAACCTGGTATGGAGGATGTTACAAATCTCCCTCCCTTAAAAAAAATTCATCCTCGAATTTTCATTGTACGAACAGATGGGGATATTGAAGTCTCATATCTTCTTCACGTTCCCACGTAGCTTCTTCTACTTTATGATTTCTCTAAAGAACCTTGACCAACGGAACTGTCTTACTTCTTAACTGTTTGACTTCAAAAGCCAATATTCTCACTGGTTCTTCTTCATATGTCAGATTCGATTGGACTTCTACTTGTTCTGGTGCAATGATGTGAAAGGGATCAGACCTATATCTTCGTAACATGGACACATGGAAGACGTTATGGATCTTCTCCATTTTCAGTGGCAAGGATAACTGATATGCCACGGGTCCTATTCTCTTAACAACTTCATATGGCCCAATGAATCTAGGACTTAAGTTTCCTTTATGACCAAAACGTAATACTTTCTTCCAAGGAGATACTTTAAGGAAAACTTTATCTCCAACCTCGAACTCAATCTCTTTTC